TAATTGCCGACCTGGCTAATTACGAGAATTTTTGTCAACTACGTCCGGAGGAAAAAGTTATTTACTTGGGAATAGACTGCACGGCTGAAAGTTTACATATCGGTCATTTGTTTTTGTTGTTCCAAACTATTCGTTTTGCCCGAGAGGGATTTTGGGTGCTTTTGGTATTAGGAGGAGCCACTAGCAAAATCGGTGACCCCAGCGATAAACTACAAGAACGACCACAATTAGGCAACGAAAAATTAGCCGAGTATGAACGAGCAATAAAATCCCAATTGGAAAGGATTTTTTTTGCTCCATTGCAATTAACTAATTTAGATTTGGCTCCGTTGGAAGCGTTTTACGCCGACCAACCCGAATTATTAGAAAAAATATACCGAATATTAGAAATTTCTCCCACCAAAAAAAATGCGGAAAAATGAGCCAAATACGTTGAATATATTTGGCCGCTCCGCGAAAATAAATATCAAATCCTAAATAACCGCGATTGACTAGACCAGTTGAGCTTTGTTGATTTTATTGACCAAGCCGGCCGCAATATTAGCATTAATTACTTGCTGGCTAAGGAAACGATTAAACAACGCCGAGAAACTGGTCTGTCTTATGCAGCATTTAGTTATTCACTCCTCCAAGCCTATGATTTTTATTATTTATATAAAAATTATAATTGTCATGGGCAGTTGGGAGGGAGCGACCAATGGGGTAATTTAACGACCGGATTAAAACTAATCCGTGGTATTTACCTCGACAGTAAAACCTTTGGCTTTACCTTTAATATGCTGGTTGATAAAGAAGGGAAAAAACTCTCCAAATCTGAGAACAAGAAAGGAATGATTTGGTTAGACGAAAAAAAAACCTCTCTTAAAGAATTATATGATTTTTTTCGGAATATGCCCGACCCGCAAGCCACAACATTTATCCAGCAATTTACTTTTTTGCGAGAAGAACAAATTAAAGAATTATTAAAATTAAATAATCCACCCCGGCTAAGAATACTCCAAAGAATATTATACGAACTAATATTTATCCTTAATTATCGTTATTATCAAAGGATTTTTGATTAAAGCATGAAAAGCAGAGGAATTTCTATTTTTTTCACTTGCTTAACCATTTTTTTGCTCAATCTAATTCTTTTTCCAAACTTTTCCTAATATCATCTTTTCTATCAAGTAACCTTTCTAGATTGGCAATTTTCCCTTCCAAGTAAATCTCAGCAAATTTATTGGCATTTTTAACGGCTTCGTCTAGGGTGTCAGCGTAAATTGGATTAGACTTGTCTATGTCCGGTAAATAAACTTCGCAAGCATAAATTCCCTCTTCAACTTTTTTTGGATTACTGATAGTTATCTCAAACGTTGAACCTATAATATAATGATATTTAATATATTATATAGTTACATTGCATTTCAAATTTTATTTTTAATTAACACTTTCACTTTTTTCTTTAATTCCCTCATCGGTTATTTACGAGGTTTTTTGCGTGGTCTTGTTCCGTTAAAGGCCAGGGGTGTTTTATCAACTAATTCTTCTATTTCGAAAGATTTGGATTCACTAATTTTTTTGATGACTATGTCCCGGCCCAAGCCTGGATTTCGTGCTTGTAAACTTACTTTCTGAATCCCGTAATCCTCGGTTTTTTTGATAATTGCTTCGGCTACTTGTTCCGCTACTCAGGCAGTAGATTTTTTAGTTCCGTGATAGCCAAGACTACCAGCACTAACTTGGCATAACACCTCTCCATTTTCTTTACTTAAATTCAAGATAGTGTTATTGAAACTGAAATAGCCATTGATAATCCCTCTCCCCCCCGGCACTTTCTTAATTTTTTTCGCCCGGTCGGTTTTTTTTTCTTTCATAAATTAGTTAATAATTATTTTGCTCTTTATATAATCTTTATTTTTGTATTCATCAATTT